TCTCTTAAAAGGTATTTGTATAACTCTTCCAAGGCTAATTCCACTACAGGAACAGGCTGGTCTTGGTTTCAATGGTTGATTTCCAATGAAAAGGGGGCCACAGCCGATGTCTCTGCTCTGGCTCAATTGAGAGGAGTCCAGAGTTGGCTGTTTAATGTGTCTGGCTCTGTACAGGACACTGCTAATGGTAGGAGACTTAAAAACATTTCATTCAATTCTCTGATGTCCAATGCTACACTGCCCCCTGCAGCAGTCTGTCTTCATTCTCCATTTCTGTTCCTTTTGATCAATGATACCAATACTACAGAATCGGATATGATTGACTGTTCTAATTGTACATGTGTCTTGTCTGAGTGTTGGAATGGATCCTGGAGCACGGCAGTTGTTATGAAGGTCCCGACTTTCATCCTGATTCTGGTTACTGCGGATCCGGACTCCTTCCCTATTATTGAGGTGCTCAGGAGCCGTAGGGATTTTGGAATCAAACAGCTATTGTAACAGTGGTTGCAATATCTGCTGCTGCATCGGTCACTGCTGGAGTGGCCATGGCTAGTCAAGTGCAGACTGCGGCCACGGTTAATCAGGTCATCCAACAAACTTCCAGCATTTTAGAGTCTCAAAGTAAAATCAATCAACATATTTTATCAGGAATTTTGGCCGTTAATCAAAGGGTGGATCTCCTCCAAGCTCAGATTGAGGAATTGTCAGACCTAGTACATTTGGGTTGTGTGGATCATCGTGCACATCTATGTATAACATCTCTCAGATTTAATGATTCCAGAAATACCTCTCAAATCATTGGACAGTACCTGGCCAGAAACTGGTCCATGGAAGCAGAGAAGTTGATCCAGACCCAACTGACACAAATTGCCATGTTGAACAACACTCGTGTGGACCCTGTGACATTGGGCCAATTTACGAATTGGCTGTCTTCTGCTTTTTCTTTCTTTAAGGAATGGGTGGGAGTAGGCATTTTTGGAGCGATATGTTGTTTTGGGATTGTCCTTTGTCTGTGGCTTTTCTGTCACCTAAGAGCTCGCCATAGCCAAGAAAAGGCTATGATCGTCCAGGCTTTTGCAGCCCTAGAGAATGGTATCTCTCCACAAGTTTGGCTTGCGCAACTTAAGCAATAATTTCCTGGGTTTTGGCCATTGCACCCCAAGTCATCTTTGACATTGCACTGGGTTTGGCATGCCCTCCTCTTCCTGCCTTCCCAGTTTTGGAAGGCCCATGCACTCTGCAGGCCTTGTTGCCATTGCACGCAGGTGGGCTTCCATGCTGGTGCTGCACTTTATGCTTTGGACCCTTCGTTTTCTCAGGGGCTGAGGGATGGTGTTGCCACTTCCAACCTCATAGTCACTGACCGGCTACTTGTAAAATCCCCTTTCTTTTTCACCATCATCACGATGCAGGATGAGAGGCAAGGCACTGCACTTGAGTGATCCCTCAACGGACCTCAAGGAAAGCATGTCCCATTGCATGCGGGTTTGACGTCCACGCCCCGCCCTACGAAAAAAGGCGTCGGCTGATATGGGACCAGGTCTAGGGAAGGGCCCTCCTTAGGACTGAACCATACACTGCAGCCACTTCTGCACAGTGGGATAGGACCTCTACTTTCGCCTGCATTGTTTTATAAAATAGAAGGGGGAACTGTGGTAAGCCATTCTTATAGACCGTGGCCGCCATTAGAAGATGGCGACGGCTTCCACTGTGGCCTGTGATAAACAACTCCTTTTTTGGAGAGTTGGCGCGCAATCCCTTACCACCCTATGAGAGAGATCCACGTGGCAGCTTGGGATTGCTATGCGGGAGGCTTTATTAGGCTGTGCTTGGGCGCTCGGCGGGGGGTCGCTAGAAGATGATACATGAATCAAGGCCTGAATAAACTGCTGAAAGAAGAATCCTGTGTCGTGTTTTCCCTTGCCGGCGAGGGGTCGCGACATAGGAGGTTAGTAATAATGGTGGAATGTGATGGTCATCATTATCCAAAGTACATGTATGAAGACATGAATTGGGTGTCAACATACTTTATATACAAACAGAGATATAAAAAAATTGTGCTATATATGTGTAATAAGAATTGTAATGCAAAAAATACCAAAGTACATATATAAAGACATGAATTAGCGTGAACATACTTTATATATAAAGATATGAAAAATTGTGCTCTATATATGTAATGAATTGTAATGCATACTGCTGTTGTGTATTTAAGAAAATGAAATCAATTAAATAAAAAAAATACAGTGTGAAAAATATTTAAAAGGGAATCTTTCTTATATAAAGTGTTGTTTTGATAGAGATAGAGAGTTGGGTGATTTTTTTATCATTGTGAAATGTAGACCTCACTTGTTGGGGGCCTTTCTGGACAGAAGCTATGTGCACACTTTAAGACCTGAGTAAAGAGGTAATGAACAGTTATTGCACCCCACAATACATTGGGCTTTACCTCTGCTTGGAGAAGGAAGGTGTGGCTCGAGGAGGGGGCTTCATCCAATGGGGTTGATTTAGACCCACCTATTCCTTTGTAATCCTACCCCTTCTCCCTTTGTGGGATAGAACATTCCATGGAATCTCCCTTTGTGTGTCCCCTATATAAGAATAAATAATTCTAGTGGCTCTCTTTCCATAGACCCCTAAGGTCACAGAGCTGGCCCTGGATTTTGAAAAGGTACCTCTTTTTTTTTTTTTGCGTGCTTTCTTTGCCATTTTTTTAAGTTACAGATTTTGTGAACCCAGCATAGGTCACCAGCTTAGATGGAAATACTCACTAATTATTTTAAATCTTTGTAGCCCAATAATTTTGTGTCTCTTTGACTTTTTATATACCTTATAACAAAGTAACAAATTTATATTATTGACAACTTCATTTTTGTTGATCTATTTATGACATTAATGTAGCGCTTTTCTTAAAACTTAATTTGCTTATTCTTATAGCACTACTTTTGATTTGCTCAGTAAAAGAAGATAAAAATGTTAGCACTAGTCAAAGTTTCTTGCTGAAGACCACCATGCTGTGTTACTTCAGTGTGTGTTGATTGATGATATAGTGTGCACTGGCAGACATTTAGAATCAGAATAGTATGCTGCTTTAAATTTAAATGAGATTATTCTTTTAAGGACTTTATTTAAAATATGTTTTCTGTAAGGATTAATAATAGTAATTAAGTAGTATTCAGTTCTATATTAAATACATTTCTCCTGTTGTGTTAATTGTACAATAAATTCACTTGTTCTTTAAAAATAAATAAGTAAACAAATAGCTAGGACACAGAAAATCAGAAAGAAAGTTTCTTCTAATTTGCAATGGGGAATAGCCTCCTGCATATCATGACAATTTTGCTTTTATGGCATGAGAAAAACAAGACACTGTAATGGAATGTTTACTATGTATTTGAAGACAAAATAATGACAAAGCAAATGCTGTTTTATGCCTGTTAAATGAGACAGATGATTTTTTAAGTGAAACTTATACATCTACATGCTCATTTTGGGCAAAAAGGAATAAAGTCTGATGCTCTTCTTCTGGGAACAGGAGAACAGAGGAGCAGTGAAGATCATGGTATTACTTGAAGTTATCCATGTTTCTTTACTTAAAGCTATGAAATGTAGACACGTAACATAGAACACAACCACGGCCTGTCATATAAAAGTGGTTTTCACATAAGGGTAATTGATCTGGTTTCCATAACTCTGAGAAACCCTTGTACTGAGAGTGGGGAAATCATCTGAGTAGAACTATCAACAGAATAGAAGGAAGGGGAGTTGAGCAATCAGTGAGTAGATGCCACAAAGAACTTCTGGCACTTATTGGTCAGGACAATTACCTCTCAGGAGTACTTACTCAAGCTTTCTGGTTGCCATTTTTAAGGGCATCTTTGGGAACTTAATAGAACAAAGGAAAAAGGAGGAATTATTTTGGTAGCAAGCTACCTTCCTTGCACCATCAAAGATATCATTTTTCCTTCAAAACGGATATTGAGTTTTGGGGTAGGAGAGGTACTCCTCATTATCATGAAAATAATTTTGCAATTATAAGTTTCCTAAGTATACAAATATCCCAAATGAATTCATGTTATAGTCAAATTTTTTGCTACTGAAACCAAAAGACTGGAGAAAAACAATCAGAGGATAACAAATTGATTTTAGGGCTCACAGATTTAGAGTTGTTACTCCATGGACTCTATTCTTTGGGGCCCGAGGTAAGGCAAAACATCATGGCAGAAAAGTGTGGCAAAGGAAAGTGATTCAAGACATAGTACCAGGAAGCAGAAAGAGATTGAGAGCTCTGTTCACCAAAGACAAAATATAGACCCTAAAGATACATCCCCAAGGATCCACCTCTTCCAAACACCTATCTGCCTACCTTACCTATTGGGGTAAGGTATAGTTATTCCCTATCACTGTATTAATGCACTGATTGAGTTATGACTTTCATAACCTAATCTTTCTTGGCTGGAGGACAAACAACTAATATATAAATATCATAATACAAGAGTGAAAATGACACTATTAAATACAAAATAATATATGTGTTGGGGAAAAGGCATGATTTCTTTTGGACATGGGAAAGTCAGTATGAAATTATCAGGATATAGAGATGAGAGCATAATTACAAAAATATATATAGCAAGGAATATTTTATACAAGAATATCAAAGGATATGACCAAATGTATTTATTCTCTAAATTATGATAAATAAGTCATGTTAGAAAGAGTCATGTTTCATGTGTTTTTGCCATAATAAAATACGTTGAGAATTTTAAAGCATTTTTGAAACTATTTAGTTGGGAGATAGGTTACTCCAGGTAGATGAATTCTGAAACACCGAGTGCCTTTCCTATGAGTGAACCAGTGATTTCAGTCCGCTCTTAGCACCTTTCTTCCAATCAATTAAGTACTAGCAATAATCTCATAACTAATTGATAAACATTGCTCTCTCAATTGTTTCTTTAACAGAGTTCTATAATTTCTATACTTTTCTAAGGAAAATACACTTTTCATAGGAAATTTCTTCTTTTGACAAGATTATTTAGGGCAACTTTGACATCTTTATTCCTCAGGCTGTAGATCAGAGGGTTTAACATGGGCACAATGATGGTGTAAAATATGGATGATACTTTCCCTTGGTCCATAGAGTTGACTGATGATGGCTGGAGGTACATGAATGTTACAGAACCAAAGAAGAGACCAACAGCTGAGATGTGGGAGCTGCAGGTGCTGAAGGCTTTGTACCTGCCCTCAGTGGAGCGAATGCGCAGGATGCTGGCTATGACGAAGATGTAAGAGCTAAGGATGGACAGGACTGGGGCAAAGATATTGAATGCACTGGAGCACAGAACTACTACCTCATTGACAAAAGTACTAGAGCAAGAAAGCTCTAGTAGTGGAAGAACATCACAAAAGTAATGGTTTATTATATCATTCTTACAGAAAAGCACCCTTAGCATGCATGTTGTGTGGGCTGTGGCACCCATCAATCCCATGCTACAAACCCCAATTAGCAACCAGAAACAGACTTGAATAGACATGGTAACATTGTAAAGCAAGGGGTTACAGATGGCAACATAGCGGTCATATGCCATGGCAGCCAACATGTGACACTCTGCAATTGCAAAAGCTGCAAAGAAGTAGAGCTGAGTCATGCATTCAGCATAGGAGATGGTGTTTTTCTCCATCACAAAGTTCACCAGCATTTTGGGTGTGATCACAGTAGATTGACAGAGGTCAATAAAGGAGAGACTGCTGAGGAGATAGTACATGGGTGTGTGCAGTTGAGAGCTGAGTCCAATCAGTATGATCATACCCAGGTTCCCCACCACTGTGAGCACATAGATTCCTAGGAAGAGGAGGAAGAGGGGCAGCTGGAGCTCTGATTTGTCTGTTAATCCAACCAGGATGAACTCAGTCACTGTGGAATGATTTTCCTCTGTCATTTTCTTCTGAAAATTCTAAGTAGGAAGAGAGAAAATATTTTGTAATAGATATTATTGATCCATCTTACAATGGGATATGAAACAGAGTTCAAGTCTTTTCAGTCCTCTATCTCCATGTTTCTGCAAGTTCTTCCCTCTCTTCAAAGACTTTGTGATTCCAATAATTTATGACTTATAAATAAATGTCAAACAGAACTATCTGTATTTGTGTTCTATGCTGTAATGATAATTTTAGTAATGCCCAGTCTCTGACCACCCTAAGAACTCTTCTGATGACTTACGTTGAGTGCTCCAAAATTTCCCATGGCTTTTTAATAATCCTCTCAAATTCTGGGCAAGAAAATGTATTTTTTTCATACTGTTAAAATAGCAACAGCATAAAAAGCACTTACCCCAATATTACAGTTGATGGAGAAAGATTGAAAATTTCAAATTGTTGAATAGGATAAGATGTCCACTCCTTACCCTTTTATTCAACTTTGTACTAGTAGATCTAGTTAGGAAAATAAGGCAAGACAATAAAATTACAAAACATCCTGATTGGAAAAGAAAATGTGACACTATCTCTATGTTTAAATGTCAAAATCTTGTTACAGAAAAGCATAATGACCATATGAATAATAAAAAATAATTATTGGAAATATTTTTTATTCTTGAGCCTAGTTTTAGGGTACAAAGTCAGCATAGCAATTCAATTGATTTTACACATTTGCAATTAACAAAAACAACTCTATTTATAATACCATAAAAAGAATAAAATTCTAAGGAATTAACTAAATAAAAACAATGAAAGTTATTGTACTCAAAATTGCTAAATTTTCAATAGAGTTGTTATAAGGGTTTCATGAAGATGCAACAGGAAAAAATGTATTTTTCTCAACTATTATGGACAAAATAGCTTCATGAACAGAATTAATTTGAAACTCTTTCTCATATCACCCACAAAAATGAACTCAAAATGGGTCATAGGACTAAATGTAAGGCATGATAGAAATGTTAGAAAAAAATAGTCTAAATAATTGTGGCTTTGGACTTGATAGTAATTTCTTAGATAAGTACCAAAACCAGAGACTACCATAGGAAAAAATAAAGTGAATATCATGATAAAGATAAATGATAATATCAGATTAAAGATAGGTAGGTGTTCTGTAGACTGGTAGGTTATGACTTGAACAAAGAGATTTTATGACAGTATATAAAATTGGTAATATATTTTCAATGTATGTTTAATTTCCTGAATACTAATATCAAGGAAGAGTTTGTGGTCAGGATCCATAATGAATACTTAACAATTTAACAATGAAAAAGTCAAGAACCTATTTTTAAAAGTCAGAGAATTTTAATAGACATTAAATCTAAAAAAGATACATGAATGAGTAATAAATACCTAAAATATGTTCATTATCATTAATTGTTAAGAAAATTCAAATGAAATCACAGTGATAAAACATTTCATATTGTTTTAATGAGCTTTTCACTATTGTGACCAAAAGATCTGATAAGAATTATTTTAGAGAAGGAAAAGTTTATTTGAGGCTCGTGATTCCAGAGGTCTCAGTCTACAGACTCCAATGCTCTGGGCCTGAGGTGAGGCAGAACATCAGAGCAGACAGGCATGATGGAGGGAAGTGACTCATGACATGGAATTCATGAGAGAGAGAGAGAGAGAGAGAGAGAGAGAGAGAGAGAGAGAGAGAGAGAGAGAGACCATTTAGTGGGGTCAAAATTTATACTCCAATATCATGCTTCCAATGACCTGCCTCCTCAAGTCATAACCTACCAGTCTACAGTTACCACCCAATTATCTCTATCAGGGGACTAATACACTTATTAGATTAAGGCACTTATAACATAAATGTTTAACCTCTAAACTTTTTGCATTGTCTCACAAATAAGGTTTTGCAGGTTACCTAGTATCTAAATCATAACACACATCCATCAGGAAAGCAATGATCAAAACTAGAGATTAAACACAGGTGTTGGCAAGAATGAGAAGAATTGTGAACCTTTATCCATTTTATCCATTACTGGTGGGACTGCAAAATGGAACAAACTGTAAGGAAAACAGTTGTGGCAGTTCTTCAAATTCCGAAATGTAGAGTTACCTCCTGACCCAGAAATTTCACTGCTGTGTAAAGTACTCACAAGAAATGAAAACATACATCCATAACAAAAAGTTATATGTGAGTGTCCAGAGCAGCTCTGCCTATGAGAACCAACGAGTGAAAGCCACTCAAATGCTCATTTAGGAATGAATAGACAAACAAAATGTAGCATATTCTTATAATAGATCTTTATTCTTCAATAAAAAGTCACTGAGAGATGGAACATCATGAATACACCTGAAACACTTTAAGTGAAACAATGCATATAGAAATGAGCATATGATGATTCCATTGATGCAAAGTATCCACAATGGAAAAATTCACAGGTACAGAGAGTAGCTTAGTGGCTTCCAGGGATTGTGGGCACTGAGGGGCTGAATGGGACTGCTGATGGGTATAGGTTTTTGTTTGGGGTGTGATGAAGGTGTCCTACAATTAAAAAATAATGATGTGTGGGTAACTACATGAACATACAAAAATCACTGAATTGAACAGTTGAAAAAGGTAAACATCAACTAATTTCAATAAATGTTTTATACAAATTAAAATGAATACAAAATAATAATTACATCATGCTGAACACAAAGAGTATTTCATTATAAATCACTCATCATTCACTTTTTACTGTTCTGTAAACCTTGATATTCACCTCTGTATTTTTTCAACTGTGTCCCTCCAAACAATGTACAAATCTCTCATGTTATACACAAATTATGCTATGTAGTCTCAAAACATGAAAATTGTAGCATTTTCTAGTTATTGTCTATTAAGAAATTGCAGACACAAAGTAGAAACACAATTAAAAATATTATTTCTATGTCTTTATCAGAGAAAAATCAAAAAAGCTAAAAATAGATCTTAAGCAAGATTGAATCACAATAGAATTGTAAAATTGTCAGAAATACACAACAGATTTAAGTGAAGTACTATGAATATTATTCAGGATATCAACTCTCTGAGTTTCCATTTGGTCATCTCCTTCAGATCACAATTTTCTCTAATTCTGGGCCAATTCTATTCCTCACTAGAAAAGCTGAAGTATGTCTACAATAGTAAATTGTTATTTCACGATGAAGATAAAACGTGGCTAATTTTGTTAACCCAAGGCTGACAGTTTTCTTGTTATCTTTCTTAAAACTTACTTTTTTTATTTTACTACATTTTCTGATTATACCTGTAATAACAAAGTGGAGCTCCCATACTAGGGTAATTTGAATGTCCTCAAAATTCCATGTATTGTAAACTTGATGCCCAATGTCAATTGTGTTGAGAATTAGGACTTTAAAGAAGAGATTTTGTCATGAGATGAGTGGATTAATGGTGTTTTGAGAGTGGGTTAGTTATCATAGTTGTGGGTTCCTAATTTAAGGAAAAGATGAGCTACTTCATTCTCTCTCTCTCTCTCTCTCTCTCTCTCTCTCTCTCTCTCTCTCTCTCCAGTTCTTGAATTCCACTATGTGATTTTGTGGCAAGAGACCCTTGCCAGATGTGATCTTTTGACCTTGGATTTTCCGGTCTTCTGAACTTTGAGCCATATGTATTTCTGACTATTGTACTTTACCTCATCTGTGGTAATTATTTATTGATTTTTGTTATAGGGTTGAAACTCAGTGGTGTTTAACCACTGGGCAATATCCCTATGCCTTTTTTTGTTTTATTTTGAGACAGGATCTCACTAAATTGCTTAGGGCCTCTCTAAGTTGCTGAGGCTAATCTTGAATTGCAATCCTCCTGCCTCAGCCTTCCTAGCCTTTGGGAAAACAGATGTATGCCACCATGCCTGGCCAGTCTGTGGTATGCTACTATTACAGCACAAAACAGACTAAGAAATCTCCCCTCCATATTTCTGATTCTTTACATTTTGTTCTCGACTGCTTTTTCTGTGTTCTGGCATCTCAAAAGGCTGTCCTACTAATATTGGTCCCCAACAAATAAGCTACATTATCTCTGGCCTGATTGTTTCAATTTTGACAGCTGTTTTGTGCTCTGACCCATTCCATGGATTGAGATCCCCCCAATGCATCAGTGTGACTCTGATGCATGATCTTAATTCCTATCACTTCCTGTTCTGCTCTACAAAAGTGTGTGTGTGTGTGCATGTACACACACAAACACCTGGGTGTGTGAATGTCTTAGACTCCAGAGGGAATTACCAAATAACCTGTTCGTCATAAGTGGTTTTGGCTTTATTTGTCAGATCCTTCTTGGAGAGCTTGGACCAAACGCAAAATACCGAAACAGTGTATGGGCAAAAAGATTGTTTTTGTTTCCTAACACTTTTCTTTAGGTAGAATTAATATACAAGTAACTGTACATATTTATTGGATACCATTTGTTCAATTTGGATCTAAGTCCCATAATACTATCATGTTCAAAATAATTGATATATTTCCTCCTTCTAAAGTTCCCATATGTACTTTTGTGATTTTTGTTGGTTTTGATTATGTTTTTTATTTGTTAAGAATATGTAATATGATATCTGTCTTCTTAACGTATGGAAATGCACAATATCATCTTGTTAACCATAGGTAGCATACTCAATAGAACATCTTTAGAACTTGTTCATCTAGCATAAGTAAATGTTTATTCCCATTGAACATACTCCCTATATTTCCTATTCTACCTTACACTCCTGCCTGCTTCCTGTTATTTTATTTTCTGCTTCTCACTTTGACCATTGTAAACACAAAGTATATGCAGATTTTGTTTCTTTGGACATTTACTGTATTAATAGAGTGAAAATATGGGATAATCCTGAGTTATCCTGAGTTTTGTAAACTTTCTTATAAATTCTTTGTAGTAGTCTTCTGGACACAAATTATGGATGTGGTGTAGATGAACATAGAGAGCAACATATCATAGTTAGGTGAAAATGGGGAACAATAATCATAAGGTAAG